GGTACACTATCCCGTACCTTCTTTTGCTTAACTCATTGAAGTACGAGCTTTCTTTGTTGTTCTTCGAATGTCTAGGACGACTGGCCCCATACTAACAGTTTTCATACTTTAAATGGTACACCTTGAGTGTAAAGATAAAGATAAAGATCTTCGATACTCCTTAAAGGCAAAGAACTCCAAAGACAAAAATTCGAATAGGAGACCCACCCTAACTCTGGATTTTAGAAAATAAATCGTCAATAATCTGACAAGCTGCGAAAAAATTTGAAAGAAAGTTTTTTCAGAGGATCTGTAAGCTGCTCTTTTTTTTAGTGCCAAGATCATGTTGATCGAGCTTTTCTATCAAGAGTCATCTTCGTGAAATGCAGAAAAATGCAAAAAACGTCATTTTTGCAGTTCTTTGCATTTTTCACAGAAATCATAACTTTTCTCAGGAAAAGCTCGATCAGCACGATCTTGGCATTGTTAGAAAGAGCAGCAGTGTTAGAAAAAGCAACAGCTCACAACTTATAAGAAACATGCTCTCGTATTTCTTTGCAACATTTTGAATATTTGATATTATTTTCGAAAATCACGAGTTTGAGTCTATTCGAAGTTCTATCTCTGAGTTTATTATCGTTAAAGGGCAGCGAAAATGCGATTAAAAATTGAATGAATTTTTCTATTTGCTTGTTTCTTTTATTAGTCAGTACGGGAGTTCACATAGGGAGCAGTTACGAATTTTTCAAAATCAAAGTGACTACCATTGCTTTTTCCTTGACTAGAATTTAAGAAAACTAGAATCTCATGCTTTTGTCAAAGTGATTCTGTACTGTCTCACATAAATAAGTGTACACTACAAGCTTCAAAAGTACAAACTCAAATTCTCACCTTTTCACAAGCTTTAGTTCTCGAGAAATATCGAGTCAAGCTACCTTTGGTCGACATCATCCATATTTTTCGAGAACTAAAGCTTGTGGAAAGCTGAAAATCCAAGTTGACACTTCTAATGGCTGTAGTAAGCCATTAGAAGTACAAATTACTTATGTGGAAACGGTATAGCATCACTTTGGCAAAAGGCATAAGTATTTTAGTTTGTCAAATTCTATCAAAAGAAAAAAAAACAGCAGTGGTATATATAAACGACTCATGTAAAGAGTGCATGGTGAGCAATTAGGATTTTTGAAGGATTTTTTGGACAGAGTTACGATATTTTCTCGATTTTTCGGGTAATTGAATTTCTATTTCCGACTTCGAACTCGCGGGGGACTGAAGCTGGTGCAAAAGCAAGGGGCTGTCTTGTAGAGCCTGCTTTGTTCTATCGAATGGTACTTTGAACCCTGTATAGGAGTAAGAAATTTATGAGTTATTGTGGGTCAAGATCGGAACGAACAGAACCCATGAGACAACCTGATATATTAATCAGATTGTCAGTACTATTATCCTTTTCCAGCTAGATTTCGTCAAAAATGTCTTTATTTCCAAGGAGCAATCGACTTCGCATTTTGTCTTTCAGAAAGGCAAGAATATGATTCTCATTCCTTGAACAATAAATTTTTAACAAATATGTGGAATTTTTCTGCACTGCGAGTGCACTTTCTCGGTGAGATCTGGCCATAGTTCACCTACACTTCACAACAACATTAATAGGGCAGATAGGTTTGCGTTCATTTAATTACAAAGAGTTAAATGTGTTCGCAACTTGTAATAATGATATAATACGACAATTTGCCCTATTATAGAACAGACTGTAGACAAGTCAAATCATTTCATGTAATAGACACCCTTTACATTCCACCATACCATAAACGCTTATGTCGTAAAGCATGCGAATACTTTTGCCTAGCTCTATCATTCATGCCTTAGGCGTTGAGATTACTGATTATGAAGTTTCTCTTCGCTATCATTATGGTGACGTCCATATTATTTGTGTCCAAAAGTGATTTTAATCATGCGATCGAAGTTTACTTGCGAAGAATCACTTGTTAGACCAAGGAACGCTCCTGTACAGAGAGGCTCTCTTACGAAAAGTCGATGCATGCAAGAGCTTTAAAGGATTTATATTCTTTGAGGACATAACAGGAAAGCTGGACTGAACCACGCTACAATCACTCAGCCCAGTATCATTCAGCAACTTACAAGTTTATAAACGTTATTAGCCTACAGCGTCTTCGTCATAATCTTGTACATTGCTCTTCCTGAATCAGTTCGTTATATGTTTTTGTGATTTTCATTAAAAAATTTCGAGTAAAGCTGCATTGCTTTTAGTAACCCGTTATTTACATTTATTTGTTGCTGATGATTTTGGCCGTCATTACTTTCTTCTTGCTGATATCGGTGGTCGAACCGCAGTCCGATGCTGTAACATCAACTTATACGCCACATGGTTCCATCTCTGCAAAAGTGATTGACTCCGCTTTTGGTCATCCAGCTGAGGGTGTACCCGTACTCGTATACATCGAGCAGGACGACTGGAAGTTTCTAAGCAGCGGGTTAGTCTTCGAGTTTTCGCTTTTACTCCTTCATACTGCCATTTACGGAAATACATGATCACAGTACCGTAAACTTACTCTCAGTAACCTGTAGGTTGGAGTTCTACTAGCAGCCACGTAGAAATTGTCGAAATCTCTCTGAATCATCATATAACACTCATTCCGATTAGAATACTCAAAGCGCGTTGAACACATTGTCAAGCTCGAACATGTTTTCTTACAAGTTTCATACAGGTAGTTTATATACCTACAACATTTTGAAGCACAGGCATGCATACGTCAAGAATTTTGATCAACGACTTTCGTAATCAATCACTTCCCTCTAACAACGCATCTCTCACCTCCACATCTTGTTTGCATGAATTTACCGAATGGACAGCAGTTGCAATAACTTCGTAGGGTCTTTGGCTCCACTATGGCATGCTGTTATCTCTGCGTTGAACTCAAGGTTTGGAAAATCAAGAAGCCATAATCCGATAGAAATTCTTTAAGAGTTTTTAGAAGCGTTCATTTAAACTACAGGTGATAGGAATGAATCTGAGATAAGCAATCGTCAGAGACATTAAGTCATCCGGCTTTGATGCATCAGTACTTGACACACTGACGAGTACTTAAGGCATAAGATGGGTTACTCAATTATTAGCACACGAAACAATATGACCTATATGAAGTATTATGCCTTGAAATGCATTAGACTTGACTACTGCCCAAGAAACAAAATTTGAGGGCTTTCCTGCATGCTTACTCCGAAATTGACACACGCTTACGATAGTACGTTGTGAAGTCATGGCAAGGGTATACTGACCATAAGAAGCTCTCTTCACATCAACTGTGTTGAAACACCTTCACCACAAATATAGCAATCTTTGCTACCTTTAATCAGAAAAGTATCTCAGACGTAGTCAAAAATCAATCAGCTTTATCTCAAAAGTAATGCCACTTTCAAGATTTTACCGTATCTAATTGGATTTGATGAATTGCATGTATAATAACTCAACAATGTTTTAGTCATTACGAATTGGCACAAGTTCATTCCGACCTCAAAAGGAAGATGTTGTCAAAAGTACCTTTTCAGGAGATCGAGCTATGAGCGCTTTGTAGTCGAAAATTGAAATTTGGATTGGAGTTATTTTCAAGCATTGGAATGAGCCAATTTTAAGTCAGGGCACTTTATGCCTAGGACACTTTTTTTTATAATATACCCTATTTTCCGGCGTATAAGCCGCATTTATTTTCATCGCGAGCGGGCTGAAGTGCGATGCCTTTCGCGATGCGCGAAGCCGCACAAGTCAACTACTATCTATTTTTTCTGCTTTCCGTTTTTCCTTGCTTCATCTTGATTGTGGCTTGTTTTAACAAAAATCTCTATTTTCTCATTCTTCATTACGGTTGCATCTTCTTCCTTTCTCTCGCTGCCCAGTAATTTATCCTTTTAACTCCTCTGTCAATGCTGGCCATCTGGTGCGAGTCTTCTGAATGCTTTCTTGGTCTGTCGCATTTTCTGTGCTTCTACTGTTCACTTGCCATCTCTGTACATCCGATCGACACCGAAATGCAAATAAGCCTGGCCAATTCCAATCTCGGAAGCATAATCCAATGCTTTGAATTGTTAGGACTTTCTCCCATTTGCGATACTAACCTTAGAATACGCATCGAAAGGAATGAAAAAATCCTGAAGTCAGGATTATTTGCACCGAAGAAAAGTCGCAAAACGCATTGAGTTTTCACTTTGCTAGAAATCTTCTTGAAGGCGCCTCCGCGCTACTGTTCGCTGCGGCGGGTGCGGCTTATATAAGGTGCGGCTTATAAGTTGCAAAATAGGGTGCTCGTATTTACCACTACTCTGTTCGAGCGCTGGAGAAACCCTAACAACTATCAGTCAATTTTACCTAAATTATCTCTTTCTCTTTGCTTTAGAAACATCTGTGACTCAGGGTCTAGAGACGCAGCAGTTACCACTACTTCCGAATTTGTAAGTAATGGAACTTACTGGAAAAGCCGCGATTAAAGCAACTTTCCTTTTGAGCGCCAGGCAATGGAAAAGGAGCGTGGTTAATGTGTAAAAACAGTTACATTACAAAAGCACTGTCGTTGCTCAGTAGTAGCACACAGATTGAAACTTTTAAAGCCGCCTATATTTTGGTTTGTTATGTATTCAGTTCTGATTCTTACCTGTATAACAAAAGTGTAAATTTAAGCATAACTGAATCGAGCGGTATGGTAGCCTTTTGGAGTCCAGATATATCTGTGCAACAAGCAACCTACAAACTTCGATTCATGACTGGCGTCTACTTCAGCAAATTGTTGGTGAACACGTTATACCCTTACACAGAGGTGAGCCAGTATGCTGTAGATTCCCAGTCTACTCCAGGAGTTTCAAAATAATTTGGTTAAGGTAGTGTTCAGTGTGGCGAACGACAGTCAGCACTATAATATTCATCTAGCTCTTAGCCCGTATGGTTATTCAACGTACAAAGATTCTTGAATCTTCAAACTGTTTGATTAATTGAACGATAAATATTCGTATGAGCCTCTTTTACACAATGCAGGTGAAGATACAGCGAGATAGTCACAGATCCTCTAGGATTACTGCCAAAATTTTGCGAACTATTTCTCTTGTTCACAACAATAACATTTGCTGTTTATTCCGTTGAGTTCAAAGTGAAAACGACGATTTTTTTAACTTTACTTTTCTGAAAGAGAAAAGCTAAGCTCATGCATCAATTCCATCTAAGCGCTTGTTTTCGCGTGTATTTGTCGGACATTCTTTCAGGCGCTTCTGTAAAGCAAGTTTTGCCAAGGTACATGAACAAAAACCAACCATTTACCTGTAGAGCCATTTCCACAACAGTGGCCGCAAATCCGTCTCCGAATACGTTCAAAGAAGTACGTATACGGTCTCTAAAAATTAGGATATATTTCCAAACATAAAAGTATGTAAATACGTACAGCATCCAGTCCACTGCAAATAATAAGGGCACTTCTGTAGAAGGTAATCCCACTGTATTTAGTATCATAAAAATTAAAACTAGTCCAACTGGAACGGCATTGAGTCCCAGAGAGGCTATTGTAGCGTTAAAGCTGAGAGTAAACATAAGTCAGAGTATCGAGATAAGTTGATCGAGTTTAACATAGCAAAGAAACAAACCTGACGGTTACAATCTGTGCCGCACTCAAATGAACGTTGTTTACTTGAGCTATGAAGATAACTGCCACAGCCTCGTAAAGAGCGCATCCATCCTACAAGATAATAGTGATATTTCTCTTCATGTAACAGACAATTGTAACTTTTATCGAAGGTGTTGGAAAGGAGTTGTAACTACTGTAAGACTACTTGTAAATTTTTAAACCAACAATTTCATGCGCATTCTTGCACTCTAAAAGTGATTTTAGACGAACATAGATAGCTTGCCATATTGATATTCGCCCCCAGTGGCAAAACGAATCGTGAAACTCGCTCGTCAAGACCACCCAACTGCTCCATACCTCTGATAGAAAGCGGTAGAGCTGCACCACTATGAACATTAGAAAACTTCACCAGAAAGACCGTCTTTCAAGGAACTTACGAAGACGAAGTGCCCAGTGCTGCCATTCCGCCCTCCATTATGTACTTGAAGATGTTGACTGGGTTCTTACGTGTTAGCAGTACGTAAAGGACTGGGATGGTGATAAAGGAATGAATGAAGAGTCCTATGAGTACTGTTAGCGTGAATCTAAATTGAAAAGGGAAAGTTTAACACGGATGGGACAGGCTTCAAGTTTCAGCTGATTTTATTGATGAGTAGATGAAATCAAGCTTCAGGTCTCCAATGAAACTTACTTGGTCATAGCGGTGACGGCTAGCGAGATATCATCAAGCTCCAACAAGCTACCGCAAATTAGGCTGGTGATACCGATGGGTGCAAACCTTAGAAGCAAATGTTCAAGACAGTATTTGTTACATTCCAGAAAAAAGAAAGAAGTCGAAAGTTATCTTCAAATATTTAGGTCTACAAAAGCTTTTGTCGTTACAGTTGGGATTGGATGAGGAAGCAAAAAAGAGGGAGCCTAGTTCTATGGAAAAAGTAGTTGAGGTGAAGCCTGATGGACAACCACTGATAAATAAAATTGATCACTCATCAGTTTCGAACGCTTCGCAAAGTGTTTCTATTAGATTGCTTCGCAATAGAGTTTTCATAAGTCAACGAAATGACAAAGTTCCATAAAAATTGGTTGATAATGTATGTTCCGTCTGTTCATAACTCCACCAACTTGCCTACAAATTTTCTATTCCTTTTTTTCCAAAAGAAAGTTTGATTACGGATACCCAATACTTCTTCAGAATAGAAACAAGCAGCGTGCTATGATTTGTAAAAATCGGGATAGATGATAATTCGGGTAGAGCAAGTTCACTAGTACACTAGATACTATGGTAGCCCCTACTCGAGTCTTTCGAAATAGTTTTGTCAACGTTTCGTTGTATGAGACCATGTTCTAGCATGCAGAAAAATAAGAACCTGTTTAACAGGCCCTTTCCGCTTCGCAGATGTAGAAAACAGTATTCGAACCAGAATTAAAAGGCGCATTTTTTGATATACAAACCATTATGAATGGCCGGGGTCACCAAGTATCATTCCCTATTGAGCCACTGCCCAACCGGTGCACTAACGCTGAGATATCCTCGAAATTGGACCCCGGGCCGTATTCGCATGGATTCATGGCGGCGTGTATCCCATCACTTGTGACTGTCAATTATACAAATGCCGCGCGCGACAGGCTGGCAGTAAACAGGTCTGCAGAAAAATTGATTAGCCCACTTGCAAGGCCCTATTCTATCTTTTGCAAAGGTTTTCAACACTTTGATATTAATTTTTAGTGTTTTATGGAAGTTTTTATGAGAATAAAGAAGGACAGCGAAGGGAAATACAGAAATTACTATGTCCCTGACCACGAAATGTGTACTTTCTATTCACTATAGAAAGGTGGTCTCGTAACATCTCCTATGGAGCATTTCCTGTGGCCCTGCTACCTCTCGCTCGGGTACTGTAACGCCGCGTCGCGACAAGTTTCAACTGACACCCGCAAGTAATGGGCTCCCCCCTTCATGGCGCAATCTATCAATTTCGCGCGAAGACCATGAGTTGCACCATGAAGCCATGCGGAATACGATCCCGGGGTCCAGTTTCGAGGCGAATATCCCAGTCGGTAAAGCACTACCTGAGCTGCCGCTTGGGCGCTAGCTTAGTTAGGGCCCAAAATTACGATGCAGGTTAGAGCCCCATATGTCCAGATTCGCCTGTACGCTGCCTTCAAAGCTTGATCACATAAATGCTTCTCGGAGAAGAATGAGAAATACGCACGAACGTATACAGTCGAAAACCTGGGTCTAAGTCCAAGGACCGCATGCACTAACATGGGATCGCAACTTGAAAGAAAGCTTCATATTCTGAAGCTCCAGATAACCGGATTTCACGCTGTCTACCTGTCCGTAAGTATTCCTACTATCCTTCACTCTGAACATGTTGAACAGGAGCGAGAAGCTGTACGAACCACATTTCCCAGCTTTTGTATGATCCCTGATGATCCCCGGCGCTTTTCTTTAGAGTCATTTTTCTTTCTTCGTAATTAACGAAAACCTTCTAAAGTTGCACTTTCCGTCTAATGCAAAAGTGCTAAGCATGTTGCTGATAAGAGCAAATGAATTTTTGAAAAATCGAATTTTTCGGTAAACCTCAAATTTCGAACTGTGGATTATCGAAAATTTCATGACTTCAAAACATCAATTGTTCTTATCAGCAACATGCTTAGCACTGTTGGGTTAGATAATCTGCACAACTTTAAAAGTTTTTCGTTAACTTGGGAGAAAGAAAAATGACTCTAAAGAAAAGCGCCGGGGATCATCAGGGATCATACAAAAGCTGGAAAATGCAATTCGTACAGCTTCTCGCTCCTGTTCAACATGTTCATAGTGAAGGATAGTAGAAATACCTACGGATGGGTACACGATGTGAAATCCAGGTATCTGGAGTCTCGAAATCTGAAGCTTTCTTTTAAGCTGCGATCCCCTCCCCGCGGCCATGTTAGTGCATGCGGCCCCAAGTCTAAATCTAAAAATTTATAAACGACCGAATATAATGCACTCTTCAACTCGAAATTCATTCTATAAATGTTCATAGCTAAGCTTTCTCAAGACTGATGCTGTAGTGGTGGAGAGATTGAATAATTTTGATAGACAAACTTCTTCCTGGAGGTCTAAAAATGTATCATCTTTTTGTATCATCTTTTTGTAGTCAAGCTAAGCCAACTTTTTAACTTAGGGTACCTTTAATTCTGTTGCGTCTGCATTTCTGTGGCGCACTAGTGGGACACAATCTAGGGGAAAAAATCCTAGTTCAAGGTATAAGTATTCTTCACAAATAGAACATCGCTATGGGCTACTGATTCATTTCGGTAGCTTTTCATGCCTTTTAGAAAAGACTCAAAACTCACCTTATAGTAGGATGCGAGTAGCTCATCTAATGGCAGGTAGAAGATCACCTTAGAATTTTTCAGTCAAGTTGGAAAGTTTTCTCTTCTGTTTCTAAGTTTCTCTTATTCGTCTCAAGATGGTTTCTGATAAAGTCGTCATTGTAACGGCTGCCTATTCGCTCGCTTGCGATCAAAAAGACAGTACATTGCAGACATTTTAACGTTGATGGACTTTCTAGGTTTTTTTTCATCCTATAGCATCGCTTTCCGTACTCCTTCACTATCAAGAACTGCCATAAGTGAGTATCTCGTGCGTAATTAAACGTACAATGCAAAAAAAATAACGGAATTGATGTTCATTGGTCTATTCCAGATCTATTTTTATGGTCAATCGAGAAAATAATCTATGCCTAAAAGTCCGAGAATTACGTGAACTTTCCAACAATCATGCTCCAAGCAAACTCAGCAAAGTAATGATCTTTATAGTGCGTGAAACAGTCTAAACCAGGATGTAATCATTTTACACTGCGTTTTTGCTGCATATGCTACGCAAACAATAGATTAACAACTTCACGAATCGGAGTGAGGTTCACCTTTGGAACAAAAACACAAAACTTAGAACAATCGTTACTTATTGTATACCCATTACATTGCTACCTAATTTGTAACTTTACTCTTTTCGTTTTTCGAATTTACTATGGAATTGATTAAGTCTCGTCATGAAAAAGAAGATTGGTCCACATCGAAAGTAATCAATTTTGTATCTTTCTATTCTCGTAACAGAAATAATTAGGACTTTTTTTGTATACTCACATTACTGAACACAAAAGATCAAGCGTCATTCGACACAACTATTAGGTTGTCCGGAAATTAATGCAGGTTTCTGCAAATGCATTTTCAAAAGGAGCGTTCTTCCTTATATGTGCGTTATGCGACCAATTTCGCATACTGTAAGAAAGCCCTGTTTATGCTCTATCTTATACATCATGACTCTACGATCATCTCCATTTGCTCATATTCTAAGGACATCCGAAGATGAAGCTTTGAATTACAAGACTTACTCTTTGCACTATTCTGGCTTGAACTTTTTTGGTAAGGGGAATATTCCCATGATAATATAGCTGAAGCAAGATGTTGAGTGAGCATACAAAAATAACAGTAGCGCTTCCTTTTAACAACCGTGAGAGCTGAGAAATTAAGGCTTTAACATGATTGATTGTTGTGGCCACTCCACGGCGTAGAAAACTTTTTTGAAGAAAGCAACCGTGAAAGTCTCTCCCCATTCTTGAAGTGTGGGGCCGGTGCCGTCAGATACTCTTATACTGGCACCTTCCAGGCTATATTTTTGGCGAGTAAATGAAAAATTCAAAATTTTCGGAGATCTTAGCCGGGGAGAAAATATCGAAAAATAGGAAATTTTGATTTCGAAATTCTTTGTTTCCCAGAAAGTTCCTAGAAAAATTTCTGCATGGCTATACATGTAGCACTTGTTTGTGACTATACGCTGCAGCAGTTTTTTGTTGAAAAATCATATCCGATAGGAGTTTATAAATTGCCAAAGATGACCTTATTGAAAAAAACTCTTCTTACTTTCTATTTTTCAGTAATTTGCTTGTTGGAGCTACAGGTATAATTGGGCATGCTTTAGGTAGAAAGAGATTTGCTGATTACAGTGGTTTTCAACTCGTTTTGGAATATGCAATTCTTAAGGAGTTATGACATTTTGAAGTGAGAATATGCAAAACCTGCATTAATTTCCGGACAACCTAATATTTTTATAGAGCTACAGGTAAGGCGATACAAAAAATCAGTGGCCGTTAATAGTGAAAGGTCAGAAAAAAAGGTTAAGAAAATCGCAGGTCTGACTATAGTTTGCCTGTTGAGTATGTGTGCTGTATTCTCGCGCGATAATAAGTCGCTGCGAAACTTCAGGTAAACCTAGATCATCTCAAATTGTGAGTGTAGTGTATCCTTGGCGGAAGTCACTATTACATTCAAAAAAAAACTTGGGTAACAGCTTTTATACCAATTATGAATCCGGACAATTGAACCTTACCGTCATTTCAATTTGTAATTTCTTTTTTTGCAGCAATAGATCTATTAGAATTTTAACGGCCCAAGCATAGATTTACTTTCGGACCAGAATTTATACTCCTTCAAAAGGATGAGCTTGCCGCAGCGACGGAACGTGATAAATACTAATTATATTTTCGACAACTTATATATTTATCGTACATACTCGAAAAGCACATTTTTTACAGAACCCACCACATCGCAGACAGCATCAGCTTCATAATTATTTTATCCATGGCCACAAAAAAGTTGACGACTACAGGAATCTTTTCCGAGTAGTGAGACACTACAACACCAAAACCAACACAGCATACGATAATGCCTGCAAGTGGAAAGTTTTGTTCAATCATGATTCGCGATGCTAAACTCACCTATGATGTTTATCCCGCGCTGATCACCAACCATTTTTGTGACCACTTCTGTGCTTCTGTTACCATCTGCAGATATGACTTTCCTTGTGTAGACTGTTTGAGATCTCTCAAAAGTGGCTTGCACGAGGTTTTCGGGAAACATGTTTCTGTATAGGCCACTTGTAGTCTTCGGCTTGTTCGGCATAATGATGAACTCGTTCTCGACTTTTGTTTTCCACATTGTATTGAAACGCTTTCTCTTATTGAAGGGACGAATCGACATACCTAATCAAGTCAAGGAAGGTGTCCAGTGCCGAGATCTTGTTGGTCTCAACATTTTCCTTTGTTGCTTTAAGTCTGGGATCTCCAGGATGGATTGCGAGAACAAGAAATATTCCCAACTAGAAGAAATGACAGTAAGTTGAAACAAGGTTTAGCTCTAATACAATTTAAAGCACCTATTATTGATCAGTCACAAAGCAGAACTCTTGTTTTTCTTGAAAGGAGAGTGCACGTAAAAACTTACCGCCGTAGCAAGGAACAAAGTAAAGAGATAGTATAGTAAGGTGATCAAGCCCATTCGTTTGCAATTCTTCACGTCCATTTGAGCAAGAGCTGAAGGCAAATGATTTTGTAAATCTTCCAGATCAATCATGAATCTAATACTGCAGGAAAGTTTCAGATAAGTTGTGCTAATGCATTTGTTGAGTTAGTTTTTTCACGGATGCAATCATCACATAGTTCGCAGCCACTGTGTGCGCTTAGTGAATCACACACCCATGTCTTGATTACGCTGTATGATGGCTTGTAACAGATTGTTCTTAATTTGATCTACGTCAGCGTTACGAAAGCTGCACTTTACTAACCTGAAATCAGCGAAGCGACGACTAGTGGTAAAGTCATCAATTTCAGCAATCTCATGAAAATTTCTCCAGGAAACTGCACTAGCGACACAGCATCTTCGGAAAGTGAGAGTGTTCTTCCGGCTAGACCCAAACTTATACCAAACACCACGGAGAGACCGATTGCCAAGAAGAGCCGATTGTTGCGGACAAACGTCCGCAACATGGTTTCGCCCTTGAATAGAGATTGGTTAGATTATCACTACGAAGGAATTAGGCATTTGCGAATTTGAAAAGTTCTCAGAAAACAGTGTATGTTCCTTTAATTTAGAAAAAAGTTTTCCAAGGGATTTTGTAGAAAAGGTAATAGATGGGATGCCGAGGAGAAAATCATGTTGAGCCTCTGCATTACGGGAGTGTCATGCATATACTATTATACAACAGGTTACGTGAAAATAGCACGAATCTAATTTGAAAATAGTCGATTGCCCAAACTGGATCGGAGCTGTTCCTATAATTTCACATATGACGTGATACTATAAGAGTGACGAGGTATTGAGTAAAAAATTTTTGCAAATATCAGTGAAAAATTGATGAGACTATCAGACCAAGTATCTGACAAAGCTTGTTCGGCAAGTACAAGAAGTGCAAAACTCATTTAATTTAGAGTGTAACTGACCAGCGGATCGTAATCTTTACATAGACATAGTCGTCGAAATTGCATTGTATGTGTCTCGCTGTTGAGAGCAGAAATAGTTCAACAATCTGTCTTTCAAGCAGAGGGAGCTGATAATAATTCGCTGACGTGAAACCTGCTTGTAGGCTGCAGGCATTGACGCTAGCTTAGAATCTTTGCGCTCAAGTACATGTGTCGCCCAAATATGATCAATACAATAAAGTGATACAGGAAGAAGGACTGCAGCTTTATATGCAGCAACTTCTCATTAGGTGCTTGTTGTAAAACTATAATGTTAAAGAAAGCAAACATCCTTGGCATATCACACTGATCGCTTTGATCATAATCTATTTATGCCCTACTCATGGCAAGGACATGCCTCTTGAAACAAAGTTTGATAGAACCTGATACGTGAGTGACCTTGCTTGACAATAAGTGTATATGGGATAGAAAGTAAATTCTTGTGCTTATCAGAAGCCAATTTCTGCTATCTTAATTTATTACGAGAAGCCAATTTCTGCTGTCTTAATTTATTACGGTTTTACAATAAGTGTGTATGGGATAAAAAAAATTTCTTGTGTTTATCAGAAGACAATTTCTGCTATCTGGATTTTTTACGATTTGACAGTAAGTGTACAGGGTGTCCCAAAAAAATGTGAACACTGTTTGATCGTTAATAGCTCCCTTGCTTTCATTTCACCGAGCTTGAGGCAACATTCTGCAGAACGAGGTTCAACTTAGATATACAGTAAGGAGCGAAACATCGATTTCTCCTCATTACTGTAGGATTACGGTAAGAACTTCCAGCATGTGGAACCATTATGAAATATGCCATTTGACAATGTTTTCTTTAAAAAAATCTGGAAATGTTGTATTGGGATTTTCGCGCATTCTTTCCACTATAGAACTTTTTGCGAGTGTTTTCAGCTTTTTGGAAAAAATAAATCACGTTTCTGACAAATGCTGGGACTCATTACGGTTCATATGGGATAACTTTGGATAGAAGCATCGTAGTAAAAAAATTCATATTCGAAATCAGCGGCATCCATTAGCACAGTACAAGAACTTTCAGCTTTAGTTTTGTTCCGAGGCAGAATACGACTTCCGACGGCCTAAAATCCTTGTCGAAGTTCTTATCTAATCCTGCAGTAGAAAGGAGCGATCGATGATTTGCTTCATATTGTTTATCTGAGTTGAACCTCGCTCTACGGAATAGTACTCTCGAGTTCTTCGAAAGACATGAAAGTAAGGGAGTTATTAACGATCAAACAGTGTTCACATTTGGGACACCCTGTATATGAGTAAAAGTAAAATTTTTTCGTGCTTATCACAAGACATTTTCTGCTATCTGGATTTTTAACGTTTGATTAAGCTGACGATGTAGCGATTTTTTACGCTTGATTAAGCTGACGACTATTGTCAAACTAATCTATTCAACATTTGCATACATGTGCATCCCGTTTTTATGGAATAGTTTTTGTTTTCATATGCGTCGCTAATGAAGAGTGACCTGATACACATCAATTGTGGAATTATTAGTATTTGGGCAACCAAGGCCAAGTATTTTCACTTATTTATAGATTTTTTCAAACGTTCTGGATGAGTCAACGTGGAGGTAGGACTATGCACTTCTTCGTGCTCTTTTGTCTTCAAACCTAGGCAAGTTCTTCATTTCGTGGTGGATATACTTAATTGGATCCGTAACTTCAGAGTTGTCCTACAGCTGCTTGGTGGAACTTTTTAAGAAAAGGAAAAACCCTAAACGTCTGTTTTAATAGTATATCCATCAAGAAGCCTGGCTGACACAATAATTTTTGCTTGAATTTGGTCGTTGCGAGAGTTGTTTCTGTTTCTGTTTTGTCCGTTTTTTCGACCTATCAAAGTAGGAAAAACACGAGCTTCAAAAGCTATTCATCTTAGCTTTTCTTCCTATTTCCAGCAATTCCCGAAATAGTTATTTTCATAGGGCACAAGCTGCCGCTTGGGCAGTGCCTTAGCTAGGGCCCCAAAATTACTTTCCACGTGAAATTCCCATAGGTCCAAATTTGCCTGCACGTTGCCTTTGAAATCAAGTAATTGCCTAAATGTCGAGCCCTTGATTTTCATACTATGTCCTAGCCATCTATAAAATTTTCATTTTGGACTTTCGAGTTTTTATTACAGTTGAGTAGAGCAACCAACGTGCAAGGCGCAGCCTTTTATCTCCAGATTTGCGAAATTTGTTGATTTTTCATGGCAACCAATCGCAGACCATCAAGACGAGCAGCTTGGGTTTTAATCAAGCAACTTTTTCTCCCATTTTTGAGCATTTATTTCATAATTATTCCTGAAGGCTTCGCTTACAAAATCATCATTATCATAGTTGATAGTAATCTGGTCGAATCTCCGAGTTTAAAACCGCGCACTTACTCAGAGATAACTTTGAGTTCTGTTTTTGAAACTCAGAGTTTTGCTTATTGAAACTCTGAATTTTTTCAAAGTTCCGAGTTCTAACTCTCAAGCTCATAATTTCGATTTGCATTTTGGAGCTGTTATCCACATTACTGCAAATGCGACATACAAGCTCGAACTCAAACCTATTTTGCTCAGCGCGATGATCCTATCACTAAATCGCTAGGCCACGACACACTCTTCAATATAGAGTTGCTTTGCCTTGTTCACTCCATTAACACAAAGCAGGTCAGGACATCTTATATCAAAGCCTCAGTGATTTCTATTTTCATCGAGGAATGGCGGTTTATCGCAAGGATTGGTCTTTTGCGTAGCCGAAAACTTCAAACAGATAGAGAAAGCGTATAGCATATGAATTGAGATGGACTATTCAGGTTTGCGTCGAACAAATCCTCTGAGCAATATTCGCCCTCATAATTTTGGCCACTTACCGTATACTCACCTTAATACTGTTATATGACACCACCGCATGAGAGGTTTTGTAAACATGTGGTCGGCAAGGTCGTTCCAGATGTTCGTAGCGTTTTTCATAAACAAACGAATAAACAATCTTATATAGTCTAGTTGACTTAAGGGCTCCGCCCGGCCCTATCATTATTATATTCGTAATCAGCATGCTCGATTACCCGCCTGTGCCAACTCCCAGCCCCGTACCTCAAATTTTGCAAAAAATCGATAAAATCGATATCAATCGATGACGAAAAGTGGCCTATGACACCCGCCGGGGCCCGATGTGTATGTGTGCCAAGTTTGGTCCGGATCGGTCCAGAAATGGAATTTTCTATTCGGAACATACGTACAGACAGACAGACATACAGACATACAGACAAACAGGCATTCAGCTTTATATATATCTTATATATAAATGAATGTCTGTTTGTATGTATGTCTGTCTGTCTGTATGTATGTCTGTGTGTACGTATGTTCCGAATAGAAAATTCCATTTCTGAACCGATCCGGACCAAACTTGGCACACATACACTACGGGCCCCGGCGGGTGTCATAGGCTACTTTTCTTCATCGATCGATATCGATTTTATCGATTTTTATCGATTTTTTTGCTGAGTTCACCTACGGGGCTGGGAGTTGGCACAGGGGGGTAATCGAGCATGGGGATTCCGAATACAATATTGGTTTTCAGGATTATCGATTACTTTTATCGATTTTATCGATTTTTTTGCAAAGTTTGAGCTACGGGGCTGGGAGTTGGCACAGGGGGTAATCGAGCATGGGGATTCCGAATACAATATTGGTTTTTGAAATCGTTCATTACTTTTTATCGATTTTATCGATTTTTTTGCAAAGTTTGAGCTACGGGGCTGAGAGTTGGCACAGGGGGTAATCAAGCATGCTGATTACGCTATTACCCTAATTTCACGCGTACAAGGCGCGGGGGATTTTTTTTCGAAATCGACCAGCCCAAACAAGTCAAAGGACTTCACGACCAAACAACCCTATGCAGTGCTGCGTATTGCTTGAGAGAATCGTGCGGCATAAGGATCACATTCCGAAATACAGTGAAGCGGCTGAGCGACTCATTTGAAAAATCGAAAAAGGTGCGCCTTGTACGCGTGAAATTAGGGTACAATACCGCTCTCAGAAAGTGCAAAATTTCCGTGAATGTCGCGGAAACCCCGGAAATCCGCGAAGGACCGCGAAATTTTAGGAATATCGCGACATTTCCGGAATTTCGCGACATTCCGGGAATTTCGCGGAATTTTCGGAATATCGCCATATTCCTTCGGAATGCATAAATTCTGGATCTGAAACAAGGGTTATACTCAGCTCATTAAGGCGAATCTTTTGATACCTTGCCTTACCGTAATTCTCGGGGCACGAGGTGCACGATCTGAGATGAATTTCGCATTTTGGGAGAGAGAACTTGGGTGTACGGCAGCAAGTAGTACTCTGCGTTGATACCACTGCTTTTCTCCACAGAACGTCTCCCAGTGTGGTTACCATAGGTGTATGGTAGGGAATCAAAATCATGAATTCGGCTGGAGTTCGGTCCAGAGAACTTATTCGACATGCTGATTACGAATTTCAAACTCTCTCTCTGCATATTAGCATCTTTTCATAGAGTTATGGTGGTTATATGGTACGGGATCGAAAACATAGATTTGCTTTAAACTTCGTCTAGGGTGGTCATTTAGCGCACTGAACATGAATATCATGCTGATTTCGCAGGATAGCGCATTTTCTTGATTACGGTGGGTACAGCAAATAGGTCGAAGTTTCAGATTTGCTCAAAACCTTACCTGTAACGGTTCACAAGCATACTGCCTATGAATATGATGATTGCTCGCTGTCATAACGCATTGTGAAGTTACGGTGAGTTGAGGGTTTGAATGGACATTTTTTCACTTTCGGGTCAGTTTAGATCCCAATTCACGAAATGAAGAAACGGTTGTTTGCATGGCGGTCTCCAGCGCCATCCTGATAACCTGTCCCAATGCGTAACGCGCGCAGCAAATCTCCTTCCCCTGTTTTTGCTTAGGCAAAAGCCGCCGAAGGGTGTATCGCGCGCGGCAGTGGTCCTATAAGGAAAGTATTACGGTCGTGGGAAACTTTTATACCACACGAATTGCCTTTATCGT